TTGGGACTCCTCATGACTCCATGTTGGACTTTTCACTTTAGAAAGTTTCTGCGAGAGTCATCAGGACTCCTTACGATTCCAGCTGGAGTTTTTCATATACTTGGGACTCCCGTTGGAGTTTTGCCGGGAGTCTCGACTAGGGACTAATGTAGCGAATACAGAGTACTGAAATATTTCACTCGAAGTGTTTCTACAAAAATATGATCTTATCAACAATATTCGGTTCGACTGCAGATGTCATCCTACTTTCTATTGACAATACAGTACTAAATGCATTTTGAATTATTTTCGTTACTCCATTATTATCGTTCATCCGTATATTATATATCATTTTCATTTGAATCATTGTGAATGACCCCTTATTGTACCTCACAACGCAGCAGGTATAATATCGAACGGCTTATCCGAGTCACTAAGACATAATCAACTTAAAGAAATAATTCTGTTAAAATTCCCTGTACTTCTTTTCATTAAGCTTTTCTCAGAATGATAAAGCTTAAAAATGTATAAGGAGGGGGCGCTCCTAAACGGTATCGTTATTCAAGGGAAGAAAACGCTCTTCGCACTTCTGATTGGTTGGCTGTACTTATTATTTTTCCATTATATCATGCTGACTATAATGGACCGTTCCGTTTATAAAACTATTTGATTAGAAAAGATGGTGGTACAGTATGATCTGTGAACCAGTGTTTCCAGTAAGAGAGTATACACGTTGAAACAGAATGTGCAGTACCCTAACGAAATTAAATATATACACCGTTTTATACACTGTGTACACTTCATAGTTTTAACAGAAAATAAATGCAATTTTATCGAGAATGTCGTAGGTCTGAACGGATGGAATTTGTATATACGTGTATCTGAGAGAATAAACTCAGTAGACTGATGTAGTAATGCGAAAGCTGCATTTTATCAGTAAATAGGCATGTAACACTGAATGGCAAAATAAACGGCTCTTTTAAAATTCAGAGCATGATTGTATGATTAGTCTTAACTTTACTGAAGAAAAACATTACTATACGCAGTTACTTTTCTCCCTATTAACAGTTATCAGAGGTAGAAAATAGCTTTCGTTTTTTTACCAGTCGAACTACTTAACTGAGTGGTAGAAGCAGTCCTATCATGTAAAATGCTATTTTGTTATACTGTTATCTTTAATATTTATTACGACTCATATCCTCAATCCATCGTAAGTCATAACATCTCTTTTTATTGACAAATTTTTCATGAGGTAATCTCATTTCTAATTGTTTTAGATATGGTGTAATTTAAGTCTGATAAATTACTGTATTCTAATTAATTTTATTTCCACTATTTGTATGAAACTATTTAATTTCTCATTTTTTCAATATTAGCAATGGAAACAACAGAAAAATCTGTGATAGATCCTACGTCACATACTATTGAGAATGCATCTGAAAAAAGACAATTGCCACTAAGCCAAAGGATATTTGTTCACATTTTATTTTTGTAAGTAAAATGGATTATTAAAACACGACGTTTTTTTACTGTGAATCATGAGCGGTATCCATTCAGGTTCGCTCGATCAGTTTTATTCATGATCTATTCTGCAGCTGTGACAATAGTTTGTCACAGCTGCAGAATATGCCTGTTTGCTCCGACGGTTGTCGGGGGAAAACTTATTGATTCGGGAAAATTTTTTGAAAAATTGGAATTTTTTTTTGCAAATATTTTATAAGAAGAAATTCTGTTCGTGGGTTATGCGAAGTTTTTAAGACTAGAATAGTTTTTTGTTACAATACGAAGTCGGATAAATATGTGAAGTTTTAAAATACTTTTTCTGTTGATGAAAAACTCACTAAGAGATTCTGCACCTCTGCTAATGTCATAAAGATAAACATCAATTAAAAATATTATCTGCTTATCATAGTTCCGGCAAATATTGTCAGCAAGACAGTTTAGGGCGGTTTTTTTTCATGTTTTTTCGCATCAATGACAGCATTTCCGAATAATAGAAAAGCAACTTAGAAAACAACTTAGTGGCATAGAACTCGGAGTCTAGAGGTTTTCTAAGATCTGAATCTATTGATGATATTAGTTTTCTTTGATTTTGACTTTCATAATGTGATTCTGGAAAAGCTGGATTTCGAGTTGACAAGTTTTGGGGACATCTTTATTAAAAATTCAGCGATAAATGAAATTCTCTTTGAATACGCTCATTGCATAGAGAAAATTTTTCTCTATCTAAAAGTGTTGTTTTGAAGAATTTATTTCTAGAAGATCTTTATTGAAAAATCAAGGCTTTTGAGAGGTTTTCTCTAGTCAACTGAGGCGGTAAGTTGAATTTTGTTTGCTATTCGTTTGAACTTGTTCATCCATTTAGTTTAAACTTATAAAGTTGCCAAAGTCAGATCCAATTACTAAAAGATTTCCTGTTAGGTTTCTAGAAAACCTTTGGAAAATCATCGGTAGAAAAATTAATCTTTTGCGATTCAACTTACCGCCTCAGTTTACCAGAGGAAACCTTTCAAAAGCCTTGGTTTTTCATTAAAGATCTTCTAGAAATAAATTCTTCGAAACAACACTTTTAGATAGAGAAAATTTTGCTGAAGAAAAGAAAAGAATTACATTTATTGCTGAATTTTTAATAAAGATGCCCCCAAAACTTGTCAACTCAAAATCCACCTTTTCTTGAATCACATTATGAAAATCAAAATCAAAGAAAACTAATATTGTCAATAGATTCAGCATGTTAGAAAACCTGGCTCTGAGGTTTAGGTAATCAGCATACATTCGCTAGAAACTGCATCGATTTTTCTCTTTTTGAAAATGCTCTCATTGTAAACGTTTTGAAGAGATTAAAAGTAGAATTGAGAGTTTTAGTCGCACAATTCACATGTAATAAACAAGTGCTGTAATTTCGGTAAATAAAACATTTTTCTGCTAGTGAAATAAAAGTTTAGCTGTTTTTTTTCTACTTTCGTTTATCGGCGTGTTCGTAGTTCGTTCAATGAATTGCAAATAACATAGTTTTGCTGATAATATTAATTGGCAAAATATTTTCTTTAGTTTACAAGTTTGAGGTTGTATGGGTAAAATCTTAATTCTTCATCGAACTATGTTATCTTTATATCTATCTATGATTGTTTGACTGGAAAATAAATGAAAGAAAGAAAAACGGCTCAAACTTTTGCCATTAACATTAGTTTCTGAAAGTATCTCTCTTGGATAGTATTATTTAAGTTTCTTTTGTAGGCTTTTTGGAGTTGGTTCGTGGTTAAATCTGAATGGTATATGGATGCAACTCCCACTTTTGGTTCGTATCCTACCAGAAGGATGGAGTTTATCAGCTCAACTGGGTATGGCATCAAATTTGGCCAATATCGGTCCACTAGTAATTGCAGTTATACGCCATTTTTCACATGGATCTTCTGCTTATGAGGCACCATCGATCTTATTTATATTTATCGTTGGTATAACGATTCCATTTATTCTGTCGTTTGTTTGGTCAAATACTTTGTGGTAAGATGACGTTTTATGAATTAAACCTGTAATTCTCCTTAACAAGGTTTGTTTTGATAGAAAACTCAAGTAGCGAACATCTATTAAGATCATCTAATAGCTATTTTATTTTGTTTAGGTTATTTGGACAGCGTCGAAGTTTCTATTTACTAATATGTTCGTTTTGTCTTGCTTTTGTTAATTGTACATCTTCTGTGACATTTCTTCCATTTGTAAACAGATTTGAACCACATTATTTGAATATTTATTTTGGCGGTGAAGCATTATCGTAAGTTATTTGTCATTCTACTAATTTTTTTCAAAAAATGTTAATATTTGATTTTAGCTCGTTAATTCCTGCTTTCTTAGGTATAATTCAAGGTGTTGGAAAAAAACCTGAATGTATCGCGGTTTTTGACGACATAACACATACTATGCGTATGGAAACAAAATATTATTCACCAAGTTTCAGTGTTCAAATTTATCTAATATGTCTATGTGGGATTATGCTGATATCACTTTTCTCATTTATTCTCTTATTACGTAACAAATCGATTCAACATAGTAAATTACGAAGTACCAAAAAAGAAATTGAAGAAAAAATGATGGCCCCTGATTCACCTCAAAGCGTTCTATTAGAACAAACTGATGTTCAAGTTGCCAGTACATCGGAAGAAAAATTCTCTCTTCAAACAATTATTTATCTCGGATTTATTCTTTGGATATCTATAGTACTTATTGGATGTTTACCATCAATTAATTCTTTTTCCTTAAATCCATATGGAATTGATACATTTCATTATGTTATCATTGCATGTGAGTAAATATTATCAGTAATTATTAATTTATTATGTTTAATTCTATAATCTCTATCAATTCTTTGATTATATAATTAAACTGCTAGAATTATCGGCTTACAGACTTTTTGAAGATATTTGTTTGTTTATTTAGGTCAATTTTGTTATCCTCTCGTTAGTCTGGTAGCAGCATTAAGACCCAAACTATTTAATATGCCACCAGTGGGAATTTACTTTATAACTTTGTTAGGAACAATAGCATTTGTTTATGTTTTTATTACGGGTTTGTATTATATATATTTCATGCAGTTGATGGCTTATCGGATAGGCCAAACGCTTCTAGACAATTTTGTTCATTTCTCTACGATAATAACACTTTTTCTCATTAAACAACGTAGTCTCTCTTCTGATACTTAGATTGATGTATGACTATTCGATTTAACACAATTTACTTGCAGTACAAGAATAGTCTAAAAGAACCCGGTAAGAATTTCTTTAGATCAGCCTAATGTAAAAATTATTAGTACTGATGCATTTTTGTTCTATTTCTCCATGTAAATAAAATCTTTTGTGGTATACAAACTACCAGAAAACGTTAGATTCAGTAAAACGTTCGTTTATTTACGACTAGGGAGGTGACGCCAGTTTCGCTCAGGAATTCGATGTTTTCTTCGAAACTGAAGTAACCATACGATTCAGTATCTCAAAGTGTCATCTTCAGAATCCATCTCAGTTTGCCAAAAATTCAATATTTTTGGAGGCTTTTGAAAAAGATTTCTGAAAGCCCTAAAAATCACCTTTTCCTAAATTTCACATTTTAATTAAAATTTGTAAGGTTATCCGTTTTAACAGACATGGAGCTATATTGAGCAGAGTGTTCTGATCAGAATGAGATATCCAGCAGGTTTGTAGAACTTCGTCTTGCAGAGTTATACTAGTTTTGCTAACGGCGCTGTGAACTATAATTAATGAAGTGATGACGTCATTGCTCAGAATATGATTTTGACGCAGCAAAGTTGTATTAACTCCTAGACGATTCATCGTAAAACGTTCATTCTTTTTTTATTTTGAAGCTAAGATATTTATCTAAAGTTTGATCCGTAGCGATTTTTGATTTTTGTTTTCTGTGCAGAGATAAGTGGCAAATACTCCGCCGAATTAGGGTTATTTTCAGAAGTCTGACTTAAAATACGTGTTGGGAATGAACGGAAGCGAAATTCAAAAATCACTGCAGATCAAATTTTAGATTTAGGTGTCTACTTTCATTTGAGGCCTCTCGCAGCTTTCTACACCTTCCAACAAAAAAGCCTTTACGTTATTGCTAAGAGCTCGATTTTGCCCCGTGTCACGCAATAACTCGGCAGCGCTTCAACCTTTTGATCTCGAATTCTTAGCATAAGTTAGTAGGACAGTAAGCATTAGTCACTGAAAGTGCCATCGAAATCAGATGTACGATAAAAAACGTTTTTTCCTGAGGGGGGTCCCTTTAAGGGATGCCAGTGAACCTTTCGACCCCTATGCAAGAAGTTTTTATTCTCTTGATCCTAACTCTCTGAAAATATGAACTACCATCTCGTCGTCGAAATGCCCGTAATGCTTTTAACTTACAAAATTTTTTCGCGTTATCTTTTTTATTGATGAAAATAGATCTAAGCCGTTTCTTTTAGACTATTCTTGTACTGCAAGTAACTTGTATTAGATAGAATTGTTATACATTTCAGTCCAAGGACCAGAAGAGAGACTATGTTGTTTAATGAGAAAAGGTGTTATTATCGTAGAGAAATGAACCAAACAAAATTGTCTAGAAATATTTAATATCAAAGATTCGTCTTGCTCAATGTTTTTCATTTTTTATCATTTTTAGCTAAATTATCTCCATGTTCTCCACTGGTCGATCATATGTCTGGAAAATGGTTAATTGTAAGTAGTATTTTTTTTTTCTTTTTCTCTAAATCCATTTTCTTACTATGTCTTTAGAGTTTTGTTTGGATATTTATCTATATTGTATTTTATTACGAACGTATCTCATTAGCAAATTATATTAATCGTACATCCGGTCGTCGTGGATTGTTTTGGTATGGTTCATTGACTCAAGCGGGAGCCTTTGTGGGTGCTGCTTTCATATTTATATTAACATTATTAAACTTATTTAAAGAGCGAGATGTTTGTCTAGATTATCCATGTTCTAAATCTTAAATGAAAGAGAATGATTTTTTTGTCTATGGAATAAAGACATTTAATTGTTTGGGTTTTTATTTTATGTGAAATTAGTGCTAGTGAATTTTCTTCTTCTTTTTTATTATTGTTATTGATTTTATCATTTATATTTTTTTCATATTTTTAATTTAAGCTAGTTGAACAGTATGCAATTCAAATAGAATGATAGTTTATGAGATAGTAGATAATTTATCAAAATAAATACAGTAATACCATTATACTAGATATTCAAGTATAATTTAAAAGATTTTAAATTATAACTTTTCAGTAAGTTTAACAAGCTATCGAAGCTACATCTTATTACCATTTCCATTTTTTTTTTTTTTTATTTCTAAACGAAGTATTGTGCAAAGAAATTCGGATTTTGACGCTAAATTAAGAAAAACGTCTACTACTTATTTTCTTTCTTTATCCTAGCGTTTTCCTGTGTTAACTTGTTTGTTTGTAACTCTATCTCAAACTTAAAATGGTTCAAGGTGAGTTGTATTTTATCTTCTAATATTCATACTTTTTCCAGCAACAGTAGCAATTCTATCTGTTTTTGCAGACAGAAAAATATATTCTCATCGATATGAAAAATTTGCAAGTGATGTTATTTGTCTGTATAAAAAGAATTTCAATTGAAACAAAGATTGTATAATTTTATAATGTTGAATGAAGTATAATGACCGACGAAACTCGAAAAAACAAAACGCTTTACTATATTTGAAAATTTATATTTTTAATATAATCATGATAATATGAAGTACGCTTCGATTTCCATTTTTCAACAAATTACCTATACTCATGAAATTTTTTGGATATAGAACGTGTTCTGTTAGAGTGAGGACTCATTATTAATTAGAGAAAATGTTGATTGTTTTTTCACTTCATTGCAATTGTTAGATTACATTTACAATCAGTTCACACACAAGATCTTTTCACATAGAATTATAATCCATTGAATAAATTTTAAATTAATAGAATAGAACATAGTTACTCACTAGGCAATGAGTTAGCTGAATTTATTGCTAAAATATCGACATTGTCTTAAGTTATCATCATATGAGAAGTCGAAAAGACTATTGTGTTTTGAAAATCTAAAATATCTATCAGAACTATTTAAATGTATTCATGAATAATAAAATGATGAATGGTAAACCAACAGATCGAGACGACTTTTTTATTTCAATCTTATACAAAAGATGATCTTACGGAAAAACTACTATAAAAATATAATTAGTGATAATTAATAAAAGTTATTAATAAATTCATTCTGAATGTATTCACATACTCGTATTTCATATAAAAATCCTTTAGTTATCTGGAAATGTTCCCTTATACGTACATAAACTACATATTTATTTAGGCCATAGGCCTTGTAAAATCGTATGGAAGGATTTTACACAATCTGAAATAAAAGTGATGCTGCTTGCATAGCAGCGACATACCCAGCACTATAGGCCAAGGGTGGGCCATCGCTCATCCTTTAGAAATTTCATTTTCTTCATTTCGCAGTCAAAAAAAATATTTTGATTGAAATCGAAAATAAAAATACTACACAAGGACCTTTTTTTACTTTTTTTGTTTGATTCATCCCTTACTGGAATCCTGTCTACGTCACTGTTGGATAGACACATTTCATAAATTGTTTATAGGATGCTTTTCTTACGTTATGTTAATCGGAACAATAGAATCTACAGTTTTCATCGAATACTTTCAATACAATTCTGTGTTATCGTTACAAATATACTACTGAACGAAAGTAAGTAAAAGTTTTATGTTAGTCATCTTCTCATGTTGAAATAAGTAAGTCCGTTAGAAACTGTTTCTTACTTCTATTTACAATTAATTAGATCTCTGTCATTAAACAGACTTATATCCCGTCTCAGACAAATAGTATATTTAAAAAAAAAATAGTTTGTCTGGATGTGTGCATTAGAAATTTTTCCTCGTATGTATTACGGCTTGTCTGGCTAACGGTTCCCTTTTTTCACTCATTTTCAAAGAATCGTTGCAATAAAGCTAGGAACCCATTTCAAATTCGAAATAGATGATCTAGTAGAATAAATATTTCTCTACAAAATGAGAAATGTCTCGACTCTGAAAGCTGATTAGTTATGAAAATACAGTTATTTTACAAAGAGCCCAAAAAGTCGATTTGGAGGCTATTTGAAAAAGGGTTTTGAAAGGGTGAAGACGATTGAGCAAATATTCTTAAAGCATACCACTTTGTAGAGAATTGTTTGCTCCACAAGATATG